GCAAGACTGGCTGCCCACATTAAAAAATCCACTGGCCTGTAAAGCAATTCATAGTTTCCAACTTTCCGTGATATGATTTGATGCAGTAAACTCAATACTCTTGTAGTGTCACCAGATCGAGTCTGTGCTCTTGGGGAGGGTCGGGTGTCACTGTCATGCTGTGGGATGGGGAAGTGCTGCTCACTGTTCTCCTTGCTGGAGGCCCCGAGATGAGGAAGCAAAGCCCTGCCTCTACCAAGATGGCGGCCTCCACCTACAGACACATTGCAGAACTAGGCATGATAGGTCAGTAATGGGGAACATCACCTGCACGGAGACCCCAGACAATACTGGTGACTAGTCCTCTGCCCCCTGTCTGGCTTTTATTGAGCAGAGTCCAGGTCTTCTTTGATCTGATTTGCTCTGTACACATCGGAAGCTGATGCATTGTATACCTGATCCTGGCAATGGAAGATCTTCCGATGAATGGTAGGCATGGACTGGGTGTTGCATGCTACGTTAGGGTTGCAGCGCGGCAAACTTTGCCCTAAGCATGGCACCTGCCAATGAAACCAGTCTGCTCCATCACATGCATTGTTACCCAGCAGCAGGCCCGGCGCTACCGCAAGGCAAGTCAGGCGACCGCCTGAGGGCGCTGCATGGTGAGGGCGGAAAAATTCCCACCTGGAGCTCCTCCCACTGGATCAGCGCTGACTCGCCGCTGCTCTCCCGCACTGAAGGCGCAAAAATGCACCTTGCCTGTATAGGCAAGAATCCTAGCACCGGCCCTGCCCAGCAGTTCGGTGGTGCTTATTGAGAGTCAGAACCTGAGCCGAGCTCGCCATTGGAACTAGTACAAGAAACAAACCAAGAGCAAACCGATTCCTTACTGTCCTTTCTCTTTTCTTTATACAGGATGAGAAAAATCAGATGATGACCACGAACGTCTGGGTGAAGCAGGTAAGTCACATGATCACTATAAATTATGTGCAACTGCCGAGAATGACTTAAAGGGGAAGTGCCCCGAGTATACTAGGCCGTGATTATGCTTTGGAAAAGAATTCCATAGAACGTCCTGGAAGTGAAGCTTTTCTATGATGACCTCCTAACCAGGTACAGGAGGAGAACACTTACCAGCTCCCACCAGTGAGGTATTGCTTCATCACTGTCCTTACTGGTGAGTGAGATCGTGCCGCGCTTCAGCCAGTAAGGGAGCAATGATGGCTGGCCGGTGTTACTGGTAACTTTCCACCAGCGATGAGATGCACGGGGTCATATGCCAGTATGATATGGCTCTTAGGACTTGTATACCCGCGTACTTGCCTGCATCTGGACTGCAGGCTGTTCTCGGCATACAAGTCAATAGGAATGCCGGAGCAACTCAAAGCAGCCCGAGGCAAGTCAGAAGCGGCTCGCCTTCAAACACCGGTCACATACAAGCTGAATGCACATGAAAGCTTTTTGTATTTGCCATGTTAACAAGCCCTGGGTGACCCTTCATACAAACGACGGCTCCGGAGACACGGCTTTCTCTGTTCAGAGAGACAGTCTGAAGTCAAACGGCTTCTCCTTTTGATAAACATATAGGGCCTGATAAACTATCGATGGTGCAGTGGGAAATGATGTTGCAAATGTTGCACTGAAGATAGTTTATAAGGAGTAGTTATAAGGACATACTTGATAAGGACTAAAGTGAAGGACTGCAGTGAACCCAGCAATGGCTCCATGTAATTTCTCAGGGCGGGCTTTTCAATGCTGACAGTGGACCATACCTGTGTAATGTGTGTTGTAATGGGCATTGGAAGTCCCTGTGACAGGGTGACAATAAAAAAGCACAACTGTGCGACAGGCACAGAGCGTTGTCACCCCATAACAGGAAGTGCCTGAACAAGGGCCATTTATGGCAGGATCACCGGGGATTATTTTAATGTAATGCATGATCAGAGGGCCTTATAGTGATGTTCCCGGGGTCCCTGGTCCTTCCATTCTTCGTAGCGTAGTGCTATGGACCTCCATGAAGGAGTCAGCCTTGTGTTCCTGGCAGTGCTCGCTGAGCTGGAGGCATGTTGTAGAGCATGGGTGGCCAAGCTCCGGCCCTCCAGCTGTGGTGAAACTACAAATCCCATGATGCCTCTCTCTCCTGGGAGTCATGTCTGTGAGAATCTTGCAATGCCTCATGGGGTTTGTAGTTCCACCACAGCTGGAGGGCCGGAGGTTTGGCTACCCCTGTTGTAGAGTGTTGGTAGCCGGAAGTCTTCTTATAATGGTGTCATCTTCTGTCACCGTCCTGTCTTGTAGGAATGGCACGATTACAAGCTGCGCTGGGACCCCCTGGAATACGACAACGTCACATCCATACGGATCCCGTCAGAGCTGATCTGGAGGCCGGACATTGTCCTTTACAACAAGTGAGAGCGCAACTCATATCTAAGGGGGCCGTGTACTGGTCAGAGGGGAACACCGGACCCGGCCTCCCGCGTGTCTGATGACTGAAGGGGGGACGGAGGTCAGATAGAAGACTGAAGGAAAGGACGGAGGTCAGATAGAAGACTGAAGGGGAGGACGGAGGTCAGATAGAAGACTGAAGGAAAGGACGGAGGTCAGATAGAAGACTGAAGGGAAGGACGGAGGTCAGATAGAAGACTGAAGGGAAGGACGGAGGCCAGATAGAAGACTGAAGGGGGGACGGAGGTCAGATAGAAGACTGAAGGGGGGACGGAGGTCAGATAGAAGACTGAAGGGGGGACGGAGGTCAGATAGAAGACTGAAGGGGAGGACGGAGGTCAGATATAACAGCCAATGGAATGATGACGGCAGTAGCAGGAAGGTGAATGCCGATGTAAATGGCGCGGCTCTCAGTAACGCGTGTCATGTTTCTTGTGGTCAGATCGGGATGATCGGCCGCCTGTCAGAGGACGTGAATGCTGATTCTCCCGGCGTGTATCTTTTCTGCCGCCGTTGCTCGTCCTTTGAAGACATTTAGCGCCATTTCAATCACGCGGCTGATATTTAGTTTAGGAAACGCGTTATCTGAATGTCATTTACTGGCTGACGAGGCCGGGGGATGGAAAGAACCGCTCTGATATCAGATCCAACCAGCGCGCTCATCACACAACGCCGGCCGATGGCGGATTAGCGAGGATTTAAAGGGGAACACCAGGAAAACATGATCAGGTTCCTGGGAATGATCTTCTCTAGCGGTGTGAACTCTTCTCTACTTCCCCATTGGCTCAATGATGTCACATGACGCATATTCATTCCATGTTTATGTTGAAGTGTGCCCGTCATGAGAGTCACATGGTGACGGCCATTGCCGGGCTGCCGCTGCTCTGCCTGGCTTCGGTACTTCTTCCAAGGCTCATGGCAAGCATGCAGCAAGTGAAGGTCAGAGAAAAAGTCAGATTACCTGGAGGCTTTATTCTAGATCGGTGACAATTTTTCTGTATAATGACAGGTCCACTTTAAAGTGAATCTTAACCCAACAACAACAACAATGTCATAGCGCATGGCTGCAGACATGGTACAGGAGATGGTCAGAGACTGCAGACATGGTACAGGAGATGGTCAGAGACTGCAGACATACTACAGGAGATAGTTATAGACCGCAGACATACTACAGGAGATGGTCAGAGACTGCAGACATGGTACAGGAGATGGTCAGAGACTGCGGAAATGCTACAGGAGATGGTCAGAGACTGCAGATATGGTACAGGAGATGGTCAGAGACTGCAGATATGGGACAGGAGATGGTCAGAGACACTGCAGACATGGTACAGGAGATAGTCAGAGACTGCAGACATGGTACAGGAGATGGTCAGAGACTGCAGACATGGTACAGGAGATGGTCAGAGACTGCAGATATGGTACAGGAGATGGTCAGAGACTGCAGATATGGTACAGGAGATGGTCAGAGACTGCAGGAGATGGTCAGAGACTGCAGACACAGTACAGGAGATGGTCAGAGACACGGTACAGGAGACGGTGACGCTGAACCTGCAGAAGTTCACACACCGGATCCCCTCCCCCGCTCGCAGATGTTCCAGAGGCCGGTCACATGGCGCTCGCACTTTTCTGCCGGAGTCATGTATAGCTGAGTGTGGTGAATGCGGCGGAGGGCTGACGGGGGAAGAATTTAGCTACGGCAGCAGATATTGTGCACGCTCGGTGCTCCGGGGAGGCTCGGGAACGATAAGTGTCGGCGAGGGAATTGGCGCTGATCATGAATGACGCTCGTGATTATGAAGAGAGACTCTCCGGAGAGAACGCAGAGCGAGCGCCGTGCAGGACGCCGTCTGGAGTCTGTTTTGTTATTCCTTCTCTCCGGATCCTCTTATCGCCTGGAATTGTGACGCAGTTATGGACGCCACCATCAGTCATTCCGGGGGAGGGGAACACGTAGAACCGGCACCAAAACTTTTCTTTTTCTTTTGGATAAATTAAAGGGGTCTTTCTCTCAGTGCAGTCTCTGACCATCTCCTGCAGCATGTCTGCAGTCTCTGACCATCTCCTGTAGCATGTCTGCAGTCTCTGACCATCTCCTGTAGCATGTCTGCAGTCTCTGACCATCTCCTGTAGCATGTCTGCAGTCTCTGACCATCTCCTGTACCATGTCTGCAGTCTCTGACCATCTCCTGTACTGTCTGCAGTCTCTGAGCATCTCCTGTACCATGTCTCCTTTACCATGTCTGCAGTCTCTGACCATCTCCTGTACTATGTCTGCAGTCTCTGAGCATCTCCTGTACCATGTCCGCAGTCTCTGACCATCTCCTGTACCGTGTCTGCAGTCTCTGACCATCTCCTGTAGGATCTCTACAGTCACCAGGCTTTGTACCCGTCCAGCATCTTCACACACCGTCCTCATCACATGGAAAGGAACAATCAGGACGCCAAGCAAAGGGCGCAATGTGTTAATAATGAAACACACAGAGAGTGTTCGTCGGTTCTGCCGAGCGCGGCGCACTTCCCCTCCGCGGTTTTCCCAAGACGTTTTGAAGTCTAGTGAATGGAAACAGGTCACGCGTCCCCGTCCCCGCCACCACCGGCTGCTGTTCATTCACAGAGCAGCACCAGAAAATGTGCGGAGGAGCGACGCGCGAAGTGACCCGGATCCTGGTGGAACGCTGGCGGCTGAGCGAGAATAATGCGTTTACCGTGTCACAACACTGGAGGGAGAACCTGTCATAGAGCAAGCGTTTACAGCAGGCAACCTCCAAACTACAAATCCCAGCATGCTTCGGCCTGTGGCTGTCAGTCTTGCAATGCCTCATGGGACTTGTAGTTCCACAACAGCTGGAGTGCCGAGGTTGTTGACCTCTGTGTTAGGGGTCACGCAGCTCGCCCCCCAGGAGGATTATTAGAAGTCATGGGGTGCACACTGTCCCATGAGGTTCCTACCAGTGGATTAGGATGATCTGGGGGGGTGGGGTCACTTTGTGATATCATCACCCCCAAATGCAGAGGAGGGGGGAGGGTGGCCGTGGCGGCCTCCTCGCCACTGATCAGGTTCCCCTCAAAGCTCCGGCTGTCGGCACAGTGGAGGGCGTTGGAATGCAAAGTGCCTGACACAGGGAACGGAGAGGTGAATGTTTGTAGCGGGTGAAAACAACCCGGAGCCGCAAATAGCAACAGATTATTCATGTTTTATGGGGCGCCAATCAATCGTGCCGGATGGAGAGAGAGAGATAAGTGTGGGAGGAATAGAAGACAGCCGGGGCCAGAATCTGATACGATACGCCCCGCCCCCCTGTAATAAAGACTGGTCACTGCTGCCCTCTCCTTGTGCAGGGTGACTGGTCTTGTCTCCGCCCCCTCCTGTAATAAAGACTGGTCACTGCTGCCCTCTCCTTGTGCAGGGTGACTGGTCTTGTCTCCGCCCCTTCTTGTAATAAAGACCGCTCACTGCTGCTCTCTCTCCTTGTGCAGGGTGACTGGTCTTGTCCCCGCCCCTTCTTGTAATAAGGAACGGTCACTGCTGCTCTCTCTCCTTGTGCAGGGTGGTCGGTCTTGTCTCCGCCCCCTCCTATAATAAAGACCATCATTACATCATTTCTAGAGCATCGCCGACACACGAATGGCGATCTTGGATGCGCTCTTTGTCTCTTTGCCGGAGGCCCTCCTCCAGTTTTTGGGGGGAAGAATGCAGACAAATCTTTCCTGATATAATTAGACGGTTGTGTCCTCCGTGGCTGTGGAGCGGCTCTTGTTCTTGCGGCGCGGCGTTCTGAGGGCGAACTCTTATTAAAGCCGCTCTGTCTTTCCGCGGATTAGGAGGATTTCTCTCTGTGTGTGATCTCCGATCTCTCCCGAGAATTCGCAATCAATGGCCATCCTTTTATTTCTGTAAGCCCGACAGATGACAATCAATGGCGCCGTAATCCCGGCCCGATCCGGGGGCGCCGAGGACGGCATGTGTGCCTTCCATGTCAGGACAGATGCTGGCCGTGATATAATATAGGACTGGAAGTGTCGCTGAGTAACCTGCAGTGGAAAGACGCACGGCAGATCATCTTTCAGAATAAGGGAATGTATTATAATGGAAGAATGGGTGACGCTTGTCTATAGAGATCACTGCCTGCTGTGTGCGGGACCTTCCATTTCTATGGGGGGGTGGGCGACATTTGAAGTAGATGTAAACCCTGATGAGTGACATTTGGTCTGCTCGAGCGCTGTGTAGCATAAACTTTGTTACATCTCATTGATGCTGATCCCCTGTAGCCTCTTTGCAGCCACTTCCTGTCTACATGCACTGCAGCAATGGCTGCATGTCTCTCTCAGGATGGTGACCACAGTCAGAGGCGGTGCTAGACATTTTGCACCCTAGCACCAGCAACCTGTACACAACCGCCCCCTCCGCACATGCGTGCTGCCCCATTCTCCTGCCGGCTAGCTTCCATGGATGTAAGCAGCCTGGACAGTAGCCAGACTGCTATTGGCTATTTTACTTTGTAATAGCCAATAGCAGGCTGGCTATTGAAACACCAGCAACAGAGGAGCGGACCGGAGAGAGAAAGGTGTCTCTTAGTTCCGCTCCCCTGCTCAGTGGGCGGGTGCAATAGCCAGCCTGCTATTGGCTTATGCAATTTGAAATAGAGGGGGGTGCCTAGTTTGCCTAGTGGCAGCACCGGCCCTGACCACAGTGTGTTCGGGTTTCATGGCAGCAGAAATCCGGACACATGATGTCAGGCAGACAGGGGCAACCAGAATTAATATAGGGGCTACTGGCCCCCCACTGAAAATAGTCTCCACTGTGATATTTACATATGAATGGGCGGCGCTATTTACATATGAATAAGCTATGACTCATTCGCCCCCCCCAAAAAAATGTCAGCGAATCCCTAGAGTGTTTGGGTTTCGCTTGAAGAAAAGGTGGCAGCCCTAGACAACACAGGAGCTAGCCAGTGGCAGAATGTTGTCACCCTGAACAAGGACCTTCATGGCAGGATCACCAGGGATTATCTTAATGAAACCTGGGAATCAGAAATTCATGATCAGAGGGCCCCTGTAGGAATGTTCCTGAAGTCCATGGTCCTTTCATTCTTTCCGTGTGACAGGGTGACAACACAGGACCACAGTTGTTAGACATGTACAGAGCGTTGTCAGGAGCAACTGCTGGAACAAGGAACTTCCTGGCAGGATCACCAGGGATTATTTTAATAAAATCTGGAAATCAGAAGGGCATGATCAGAAGGCTCTTGTAGTGGTGTTCCTGTGGTCCCTGGTTCTTCCATTCTTCCTATCTGACAGGGTGACAACGCACAAGCACGGTTGTTAGTCAGGGATAGAGCACTGTCACACTATAACAGGAAGTGCCCAAATGGGGACCTTTATGGCAGGATCACCAGGGATTATCTGAATAAAACCTGGGAATCAGAAATGCATGATCAGAGCAGTGATGTTCCTGCGGTCCCCCGTCCTTCCATTCTTCGTAGCATAGTGCTGTGTGGACCCCCAAGAATGAATCCGAATAGTCTCCATCAGAAGCCCATGTGACATGTTGACAACGCAGGAACACGAATGTTAGACAGTGACGGAGCGTTGTCATCCTATAGGAGGGAACCAGGGGATATATTCCAATCGAATGACATCTAGGAGGGGATTTCCCCTCAATCTGGAGACCTTTCTTCTCACTTCCTGTTGCCTGGACAGGAAATGAAGGGAAATCTCCCCTGACAGAGGTTCTCAGCCTTCCCCGCAGTCCCCACTTCCACACGGCATCACCCCGGTGCAATAAACGAGCCCAGGCTCCAATCCGAGCCGCCTATTCCCGGACTGTACGGCGTCTCCGGCGGAGCGCGGCGTGTGTGAATAGGAAGCGGCGGTAAGCATCTTAGCGTGCCTTTTTAAATCTTCCAGACAGAGACGGATTTCATAAGTCAACACAGGCGGAGGATTTGTGAGGCTTAGCGTCTAAGCGTGGAAATTCTCCCGCACGGCTCGGAATAAGAGCCGGGAAATGACAAGCTCGCCGTCTTCAAGTCGCTGTAATGAGATTTTGATGCGGCTTTCCCATGATGCACCTGACCGCAGTGCCGCGCCGGCCACCACATCCCCCCCCTATGAGGGAGCTCTGATTTATTTTTTTACCAAAACTTTACTCTTGCCAATTTAATCGTACAATGTACGTCTCTGGGTCAAGTCTTCATTTATTTATTTTTTGTAACATTGTCTAAAAATATACTTTTATGGTAAAAGAGGCGGGGCTTAATACTCCCTTTTTGAAATGCAGTAAAACCTTTATCAATAAAAAAAAAGGGGCCGTGACTACCTCTAAGGGCTTGTTCACACCAAATGCAGATCTGCAAGAGTTTCTGGGTTTTGCCGCGTTCCAGGACATTTTTTAAATATTTTAAAATGGGCATTTGCATGCGTTTTCTATGCCTTTGCATGCGTCCTAGAGCAGGTAAAATAGGGCTTGCTGCAGTTTTTTTACATGCTCTGGAACTGAACGCTGCGGTGTGAACTGGAGCTAAAAATACCATGGAATACATTGGACGCAGTCTTGATCCGCTCGTAACCGCTCTGCTCCTGGAACGCGCTTGGTGTGAGCAAGCCCTGAAGCCCTTTTGTGGTATAGTTATACATCTTTTGCAGGTTTGGTTTTTTTTTGCGCTGTATTTATTTATTTTTTTGCAGTATATTTTTCCTTTGCAGTGTATCCGTCTTTTGCAGCTTTGTTTTTTTTTTGCTGTGTATTTATTTTTATTTTTTTTGCTGTATATTTTCCCTTTGTGGCGCACTTTTCTATGGCGGTGTATTTTTCTTCTGCGGTGTATCTTTCTTTGGCGGCACAGTATTTTTTGGTGGTGTATATTTCTTTTCATGGCCTGTTTTTTCCGCCGCGACATCATCGGTACATTTTAAGACTAATATAAATGATACTTTGAGTGACTTGGCAAAGCTTGTGTCCTCACTGTATGATGTGACATTTTCAGGGAGAAAAGCCGATGAAACACGGACAAAGAAATTAAATTGTTATTGAGCTCCAAAATTATAAAGAAAAAAGGAAAAGAAAAGAAATGAGTTTAAATGTCACAATGGAATCCATTACCCGTCTTCTTGGGTCGGTGCCCATTTGGGTCCATATGTCAAATTGTATTTTGAGGGTTCTGATTGAAGATTTTGCAGAGTCGTTGTTCTGTGGAATAAGATGGCAAATCTTTATTATTAAAATGTATTTATTTTCTTGGCAGTGCCGATGGGGACTTTGCAGTGACCCACTTGACCAAAGCCCACCTGTTCTATGACGGACGGATAAAGTGGACCCCCCCGGCCATTTACAAGAGCTCCTGCAGCATTGATGTCACCTTCTTCCCCTTCGACCAGCAGAACTGCACCATGAAGTTTGGCTCGTGGACTTATGACAGAGCCAAGATCGACCTGATCAGCATGCACAGCCACGTCGACCAGCTCGACTACTGGGAGAGCGGAGAGTGGGTCATCGTCAACGCCGTCGGCAACTACAACATCAAAAAGTACGAGTGCTGCACGGAGATCTACTCGGACATCACGTATTCCTTCATCATTCGTAGACTTCCTCTCTTCTATACCATTAACCTGATCATTCCTTGTCTTCTCATCTCCTGCCTGACCGTGTTGGTCTTCTACTTGCCTTCAGAATGTGGGGAGAAGATCACGTTGTGTATATCCGTCCTGCTCTCTCTCACCGTCTTCCTTCTCCTCATTACCGAGATCATTCCATCCACGTCTCTGGTCATCCCGTTGATTGGAGAATACCTGCTCTTCACCATGATCTTTGTCACCCTCTCCATCATCATCACGGTCTTCGTGTTGAATGTCCACCACCGTTCCCCCCGCACGCACACCATGCCGGCTTGGGTGCGCAGAATATTTTTGGACGTGGTGCCCAGGGTGTTGTTCATGAAGAGGCCTGCGAAGGACAACTGCAAGAAGCTGATCGAGTCCTTGCTGCATAGCCGGCCACTTAGTTCTCCACCAAGACTGTGGTCTGAGACAGAGATCGAGCCGGCCCTCCCAAGCTCATCTTCGGCCAGCCCCACCAGCCAGAGGGTATCGCCAACGTCTTCCTGTTGCCAGCAGCTGGAGCAGACGGCCAACTCGCAAGTGGTCTGCAAGTCCCCCTCTGGGCAATATTCCATGCTGTGCGAGGAATCAACTTTGACCAGCTGCCCTTGTCCTCCAAACCAAACTGGTCTTCTTGGAGAGCCCCAGACCAACCTGATGCCCAAGGTTCGCTCTGTAAGCGTGCAGCAGATGTACACGCCCAAGGAAACCAGTGAGGCTACAATCCGTTGTCGGTCCAGGAGCATACAGTACTGCTACCTTCATGAGGATTCCTCCCAAGCCAATGGTCAGTCCAGCGCCTCGCCACAGTCTCAGAGCTGCCACGTGCATGAAGCACAGCAGACTTCGAATTCTCAGTGCAAATGCAAACCCAAAACCCAGGAGAAGCCAAGTGGCGCCAGTCAAGTTACCAAAACAGTCAGTACCAAAGAGCAGCATGTGCTGCTGATGTCTCCATCCCTCAAGTTGGCCATCGAAGGAGTCCACTATATCGCAGACCACATGAGAGCAGAAGATGCCGACTTCTCTGTAAGTACATACCGTACAAGTTTATTAATGAGCTTCCTTTAGACTTCCAGTTGCTGAGAGACCTTCAAGTAAACCTAAACCCTAACCGGGATGCCCTTGATTTGTATGTATAGGCAAAGCTTTTTTTCTTGGATATTGATAGAGTGGGAAACCATGGCTAGATTAGGAAACCATGGCTAGATTGGGAAACCTTGGCTAGATTAGGAAACCTTGGCGAGATTAGCAAACCATGGCTAGATTGGGAAACCATGGCTAGATTAGGAAACCATGGCGAGATTAGGAAACCATGGTGAGATTAGGAAACCATGGCTAGATTGGGAAACCATGGCTAGATTGGGAAACCATGGCTAGATTGGGAAACCATGACTAGATTGGGAAACCATGGCTAGATTGGGAAACCATGGCTAGATTGGGAAACCATTGCTAGATTAGAAAACCATGGCTAGATTAGGAAACCATGGCGAGATTGGGAAACCATGGTGAGATTAGGAAACCATGGCTAGATTGGGAAACCATGGCTAGATTGGGAAACCATGGCTAGATTGGGAAACCATTGCTAGATTAGAATACCATGGCTAGATTAGGAAACCATGGCAAGATTGGGAAACCATGGCTAGATTAGAAAACCATGGCTAGATTGGGAAACCATGGCTAGATTGGGAAACCATGGCTAGATTGGGAAACCATGGCTAGATTGGGAAACCAAGGCTCGATTGGGAAACCATGGCTAGATTGGGAAACCATGGCTAGATTGGGAAACCATGGCTAGATTAGGAAACCATGGCTAGATTAGGAAACCATGGCTAGATTAGGAAACCATGGCTAGATTAGGAAACCATGGCTAGATTGGGAAAGTCAGTTTATTTTCTGCTGTGTCCAGGTGGGGAGATTTCACTTCCTGTGACCTGGTGATGCAACAGGAAATGAGAATGAATCCCATCTTAGACAGGTGTCCCCTTTGGAAGATTTCCCTCACCTTTTGTTCTAGTGAATTTTGGGCTTTGTTGATGACAATGGTCACCAGGACAACTGGAGAAGCTGAATCTACCTAACCCGGACATAGGCTTTAATAAAAGAAAATAGTTAGGGATTCTAACGCTTGCCCATAAGTTTTGGCTATCTATTAAGATAGGAGGTCTGCCACACGGAGCACATGGTTTGTGGTGATTTGACCTACTCATAGACTTGTTCTCTGAAAAGGAACAGTAAGGTACAAACATCGTGTAGAGCTGTTGTGCACAGGGCCCACTGGGGACACTGGGTGACACAGGATACTCGGGGGTCACTGGGTGACACAGTATACTCTGGGGTCACTGGGTGACACAGAATGCTGGGAGGTCAATGAGGGGGACAGTATGCTCTGGGGTCACTGAAGGACACAGTTTGCTCTGGGGTCACTGAGGGACACAGGATGACCTGGGGTCACTGAGGGACACAGGTTGCTCTGGGGTCACTGAGGGACACAGGATGACCTGGGGTCACTGAGGGACACGGGTTGCTCTGGGGTCACTGGGTGACACAGGATTGTGTAAGGTTACTGGAAGTTGCTCGGTGCTTTGGGGGTCACTGGGTGACACAGGATGCTTGGATGTCACTGGAATTGCCTGGGTTCTTTGGGGATCATGGGTGATGCTGGATGCTTCTGGGGCCACTGGACAACCTAGGTGTGAACAGGGGTCACAGAGTTACTGGAGGCACAGGAGCTTTGCGGTCACTGGAGAGATTTGGGTCACCGGAGACACAAGAGGAACATCAAGGAACATGTTGGCCGGCCTTTTGCGCACACTCCAGTCAGGACCTTTGACACCTGATTGGTTGATTGGTTGGTAGAAAATTTGGTGCCCTACAAGCTGCTGCAGAGTTGGGGCCTGCTTTTGGTGGGGAAGCATTGGTCCCTCTGCAGAGGTCTGATAGGCCCCATCCTGAGTCAGACCTATAGTTCTCCAATCAGCAAAGCTCATGCTCCCTACTGATTTGAGAGCTCTGGATATGACTCATTAGGGGGCGTGTCAGACATCTGCAAAGAGACCACTGCTTCCACACACAGAGCAATGGTCCTGCTCAGGCATGCTGGCAGGGAGGAGGCTTCTCTACTCTGCAATGCGTGAAACATGTTAGGATGCCAGCGTAGAGCAGTGCCAGAGGCCGCTAAGGATACAAGTCATTCATTGTTTTCAATGTTCAGCTCAAGTGAAGGTTGAATTAGTATTTTCCTGGAATCCGGCTCTAAGCGTGTATACAGGACCTCTTCATTGTGTCTCTGCGCTGGAATCCACTGACCTTGCCACCGCCGGCCGGCTCTGACGAGTCACATGTGGTCATTATGCGGCAGGAGCAAGCTGCGCCGCCTGATAACTTTAAACTGAGGCCCATTGTCGGCAGAGCCCTCGCGGCGTGATAGAGCGAGCGCCCGGCCTGCAATCATTTAGTCTATTTCCATCTCAAGTGGCTGTTATCTTCCTTCTTCGGCAGCTTCCAAACCGCTTTGATTGTCCACTGTTCTTTTTCTTCCTTGTTCCTCCGCACCGCTGATATACAGCAGCTGGGGGAAAACAGCTCCCTCTTACCCCCCCCTTTCCTCCTATCACACAAATGGGTCCCTTAAAGACCCGCTCATCTTAATCCAATCTGGTCCTCTGTTGGAGACGGGAGGGTGTCCATGACATCTTCTCCTTCCTCTTTGGCCTGGCATTTGACCCCAGCATGGCATCCTGGGAAGGTGTCCCCACCCCAAATCCAGAAGTACTTTGCGACTTTGCGGGGGCTCCGATGGAGCAAGGGATAGGCGGTGGAGCATGGCCAAAGGTAAGTATAAGTGGGTAGGTGGGCTTTCTAGAGACTGGCACTTTGTTTTAGGGCATCACTCCAACTTTTTGAAAGCCTTGCCAGCAAAAATAACCAACTTTTCCATCGGAAGTGCTGGAAACTCCTTGCAGCTACAGGTCCACTTGGGTCCAAATTGAATGTATAACCTTGAAAGGTTTGCAGCAAAGGGATTGTTTGTTGTCCACCCCCCCCTTCCCCCCCGCCTCTCCCCCTCTCCAGTCACAGAACGCCTGCCATCCTGTGAGCAAGAATACAAGGCGCTCTGTGAATGGACAAGGGGAGGGGTGAATGTTCCGGGCCTAGGATAGTCATCATTACAGGTCACGTAGTTTGAGTTCAGGCAAACACTAAATACACAGATGGGTAAGGGAGCTGTTTTACCTGCCAAAGGATTTGTATTTTTGACCATTCAGTCTTGAAATGTATACAGCTCTGTTACACAGCACAGCCCTGTCTGGCAAGAGAGGAGACCTGATTGCTCTCTGCTGAAGTTCAGTAAAATGTATAGGTCTTGTCCCCCCCCCCCCCCAGCCTGTGACTGGACAGTGGAAGGAGTAGCAGCAGACTGATGAACTCATCTCTCTACTCTCTCCTCTCAGCACGCTCCTTGCACTGCAGTACAACTGATTGCCTACTTGTGCTGCTCCTCTCTCCCCCAGTCTGAGCTCTGCCGTACAGTGATAAGTATATTGTAATATAAAATGTTGGATAGGATGGACAGACCTCCGCTGATGTCAAGAGATTCATGTTACCCCTCCTCTCCCCCCTCCTCCGACAGGTAAAACAAGACTGGAAGTATGTGGCCATGGTCATCGACCGGATCTTCCTCTGGATGTTCATCATCGTCTGCCTCCTGGGAACCGTCGGACTCTTCCTTCCACCCTGGTTGGCCGGCATGATCTAACCATAGAGTACGGGGCCCACCGCACCAGGAGGACGAGGGGTGGGGGAAACAGCCCAGCGGGGATGGGAAGTCGGGCGCATGAATGCATGGAGAATGCAGAGAGAGGACTACAAAAAACAAAACCACACCACGAGAACGGGTTCACGGATGGAGGAAAGCGCGCATCTGCTGTGTATAAATATTTAAGCTTGCATTGGAAACGCATGAATGAGCCCAGCGGGCCCCAGGGGGCGGCCCCGGGCCTGAGAAAGAGGCATTTCAGAGCCAGCTCTTGCCTTCCCCTCCCCCCCAACAGCTGGGAATCCTTCTTTAATTATTTGTCATGTACAGCCGACGCATCCAAGGAGTGTTCAGACTGAGGTCTGGGGGGGGGGTCCCTGGCGGGTGTGTGAATAAATCTGAGGCCCGAAAGCCCATTGGTGTTGCTTTTTGTTTGTTTGTTTTTTCCTACTTGTAGTCATGGGTTTCCTGGCGGCTGAAGAGTTAAAGGACGCGGTTATGACTGAAGTATGGGTGTGGTCATGGGCCAACTTGTTTTTAAAAGTGCCCGTTTCTGGGCTTTGAGTGACTTTGCACCATGGGAAGGGAGACCTCTTTAATTGAAGGCTTGCTCCTCTCGGGGCGAAGCCAGCAGCCCCTCACAGGTTCCATTTAAAGTGTATTTAAAACAAATAGTTTTGGAGGGTCGGGTCAAGTCAAGTTTTTATTGCTGTCTGCCGAGATTCATTCCCGGAGTGTGCCGAGATAGCGATGGGATACCCAAAATTCCAAGTTTTTACCTGAACAGGAGTTCCCTTTACTTCGTAGAGATTTCCTTTCAGTTCCTGTTGTGTCTACGGGATAGGAAGTGGAGGTAATCCGCCCCCCAAAGGGGGCACAGGTGACAAAGGTTCTAACTAGGGATGCACCAATACCGATACTGTTATCGGTATCGCTGCCGATACTGAGTATTTGGCCGAGTACTCGTGCTCACCCAAATGCTCTGATACTTCCCATGGGTACCGGAACTGACGGTCAGAGGGAGATTCCCTATGACCAGCAGTGCTGCGAGGGAGCATGGAGCCGGCTTCGCAGCCAATCATGAAGCCGGGAGGCGGGTCATGACCCACTGCCCTGCTTCCTGATCAGGTAGGAAGCTGGCTTCATGCTGCCTAGTGACACTGTGAAGCAGCCTGGCTTCCTGATCAATCAGGAAGCCGGACGGCAGGTCATGATTGGTGAGGAAGCCAGGCTGCCTTGCAGTGTCGCAAGGGAGCGTGGAGCTGGTGTTCTGTCAAGAGAACACCGGCTTCCCAGGCAATCAGGAAGCTGAGACCTGCCGCCTGGCTTCCTGATTGGCAGGGAAGCTGGGTCCATGCTACCTCGGGATGCCGGTATCGATTATGGCGAGTACTGATAAAGAAAATATCGGCACTCATACTGGTATCCATGCATCCCTAGTTCTAACCCTTCCCCACCCTGACCCAAACTAAGGATACTTCTAATAAAAGAGGGCTGACCTATAAGCAGACTAATGTCTTGCTTGGGGCCAAAAGGTAAGGAATGGCACTGTGTGGGGTTACTAGACAGGACCTTCGTGCACTTTAAAGTAGCCCTAGCAAGAGAAACATATGGGAGCTGCCATTGCAATTCTGGTTCTGAGCATGTTCTTCCATGTGTGTCTATGGAGGTTAAAGTGACTGTTCTAATGAAGATTGATGAGTGGCCCCTGGAAGAGAATAGGCTACTTACCTGTCCGGTGGGTGGTGAGGGAACCCTTTGCACTCTTAAAGAGCTCTTGGCACTACTTCTATTAAACAGTCCCTGGTGTGTTAGATAAAGCGCCCACTACTGGCCGCCGTGGTTCCTCCCGCCGATCCCTACATCAGTACAGGAAACCGCATTGACGTAGAAGTTGGCAGAAGTAACCATAATGCCCAACGGGGTGGGCACGCTATCCGATTAACCAAGAAGCATAGCAGTAGTGCCAGGACAAGGTCCTTTGGCAGCCAAGACGGAGAGGCCAAAATGTATAGTATAGCGAGGGGGTCACTTTGACGCATGTCCATGTGCATTTGTTGCATGAGAGGAATAAAGAGGCTGCCATTATTTTACTAATTTCTTCTACCCGTTTGGCTGTCAAGCTGATCCTGTGGCTTCGGTACTTTCTGGGTCCACTGGGTCCTTTGCATGCTCGCTGTGCATCAGAAAAAGGCACACGCCAACATTCTCAGCCGACAATGGCCGCCTTCTTATTCCCCCCACTTAGAAATTCCATCCGCGAGCGAGTGGCGCAGACGCCCGCCTGTGATCTCTACCAGTCAGCAGGGTCGCCTCTGATACTCCGGCAGTGTCGCAGCGACTCACTTTTGACTGTAGGACAGGTTCAAAGTCAGGATTCGCTCCTGACAATTCCCTGGCCACGTGCGTGCGAGCAACGGTAAAGCGCCACCAGCAGGCCAAAACCCTCGGGGACAGGAGAGGGGTGGAGGAGAAGAGAAATGCAGAACGGGGCCGTTTAATGTGTGAAGGGCAGAGTAAGGGTGGCGCGTCGAATTTCTGTTATCTCGCTCGCTGCCGCCCTCTGAATATTAAGCGATGCAGACGAGTTCCTCGTTAGAATAATCTCACAGCCAGACAACACGTGGCCTAGCAACACTCCGAAGTGTGAGCCACGTGTGCGGCTGGGGTAATGCCGCACGCGACCTTCTTATTTATAGAGAAAAACTGGTTTTATTATTTCAATTTGAACCATTGCAGGTCATACCTGTGATCTACCCTCTGCAAGCTGGTAAGCAGGTCCAAGAGTATACCTTCAAAGTAAATCTCCCCTCCTCCAGCTCTAATTTACCACCCCTCCATCCACAGCTCCATACTGACCGAGTTCTGGAAACCAAAGGGCCGGCAACTTTAAAATCCTGCCCGTCCGGAATCTCCTATCCGTGCTTCACGCATGTGCAGTAGAAACCCATAGACGTCTACAGCAGCGGGACAAGGTCCCATAAAGGTCTACAGGCTTCTACTACGCATGTGCAAACTGCAGAAAAATGCTGGCAGCAGCAGGATGCTCACGTTGTACGCGGGCCATGGCTTTGAAAACCTAACCTGGCCATACACTGATAGAGTTTTACACGAACGTTCATACCAAAAATCTCATCAGAACATTTGATGATGTCATCGGAGACTTGAGGAACATGACTCAAAATTTTGACTGGTTTTCATATTCAATTTTGGAATGAATGGAGTTCATTCCAAAATTACTTTCGTTCGAGAAAATAATTGAGTTTTATTGTCCCCATGGTCAAAACTGATCATTGATTTGACCCCATTAACTATTAAACATCAAACAAAAGTTCTGAAATTGGTTCTACTGTTGTTTCTATGGTAACCTTAAGTATGGAGTTGTGGAGGATGGGTTAGTTAGGTTGGATATACACCTATAGCTTGGTCTTGATTTCCCCACCCATGATAAAAGTATGGCTCGGCAAATGCCCCACTTGGCTATTGTATTCTGAAAGTGGCGGATGTGCCGCTATCCGAATACCTGAACAACCACTGCAGCTGACTGGCTGTAGCCAGTGTTTGGTTAAGAACTCTCAGACTGGCTCCTTTACACAGTTACATAGTATTTGGGGTTGAATAAAAACATACGTCCATCAAATCCAACCCATATAGGTCCACGCATCATCCCATCTCATTCTTTGACAAGAGTCAATTGGAAAAACGACTTTTGTTAATTGGAAGGGTGCCAACTGGGCCAAACACTGCTCGTGTTTTGGCAGAGGAAGCAAGCACCAAAATTGGACCCGGGTATGGCCAGCTTTAGGCTTCAGGGGGGCCAAATAGGAGTATGGCTGCATGGCCATCTGCCTTTCCCAATTGTGGTTCCATAGTTTTGACTTCATTGACCACCTGCTTGTTATCTAGTTACAGAAGTAGACAGTACAGTTTTTCTTTGAGAGGTGACGTGGCGTACAGAGAAGGAACACATTTCGGGGATTCGTGGTGAGGACTCCGGCGTTGGCCAGGGATCTCGTCTTCCTCAAGAAGTCCTTTGGATGGCTCTCTCCTAATATCAACACGAAGCATTCACAAATTAAAAAAAGAACATACAATAATCCAAGCTCATGACTTGGAGTAATGAAAAAAGATCATCTATAAAGTGGCCTGAAAAGAAAGGGTGAGATGTCCTTGATGAGGTCAATATGAAATGTGCCTCCAACTGAAAGACCTAAAGCTATGAAACACATCACAATCTACATAAAAGGCTCCTTGCTCTGTAAAGTTATTATTCAAGAACAGAAAGAGCAGACCTGTTGAGAGCTCTCCATGAAGGAGGCTGCAGTGTAGATGATAATCAGGATGACTCTTACTGGTGACCTGAGTTCAAATCCCTATGAGGAAAAGCCTTGTAGCTACGTGGGAGCTGAGGCAGCGTTTCAGGTCAAAATATGAGGCACAATGAGAAAAGCATTAATAGTGATGAATTAGAAGACAAAAATATTCTAAGTCCCACTTTTTTCACACCTGGGATATTGTTGGTGGAATACTGGATCACCTAGTGGTAGTCTTCGTGAGTTTGACATTTATGTGAAATTATGATTAATCACATTAATCATTTATTAACTAAGTCTTTAGTGACTAAGTCTAGACTCCTAAGCCTGGATGTTCAAAGGGCTGGCTGCTGAACACCTGAGCCACGGCAGAGCTCTGGCTCAGGCATTTAGCAGCCAGTCCATGAGCCAGCAGCAATTTCAGAGTTGCAGGTTCAGATCTTGGTATATCCTTTTGAATATGAAAAGTAGATTAAGTTCCTGAAATAGGAGAATGAACACGTGAGTTGCTGAGCAGAAGCGAGTAGCTCAGTGGATGAGAGTGTTGACCCAGGGTGCCATAGACCCAAGTTCAAATCCACACAAGTGCTGTAGACCCCCCAAGGGCCCACCAATGAGAGCACTGCAAACCTGAAGTGCAAATCCATGAAAGTGCTGTAGACCCCCGAGTGCAATACCACAGAAGCACTATAGACCAAGGGCAAGTACATGGAAGCACAGTAGACTCGAGCTCAAATCACTGATTGAAAGCTTGGAGGCCATGGACAACCCACCAGTCTACTCCAGTCCCAGGTCC